ATAAAAATGCAACTGCGTGAAACACACAGGTGTATAAAAATACAACTGCGTGAAACACACAGGCGTATAAAAATGCAACTGCGTGAAACACACAGGTGTATAAAAATACAACTGCGTGAAACACACAGGCGTATAAAAATGCAACTGCGTGAAACACACAGGTGTATAAAAATACAACTGCGTGAAACACACAGGCGTATAAAAATGCAACTGCGTGAAACACACAGGTGTATAAAAATACAACTGCGTGAAACACACAGGCGTATAAAAATGCAACTGCGTGAAACACACAGGTGTATAAAAATACAACTGCGTGAAACACACAGGCGTATAAAAATGCAACTGCGTGAAACACACAGGTGTATAAAAATACAACTGCGTGAAACACACAGGCGTATAAAAATGCAACTGCGTGAAACACACAGGTGTATAAAAATACAACTGCGTGAAACACACAGGCGTATAAAAATGCAACTGCGTGAAACACACAGGTGTATAAAAATACAACTGCGTGAAACACACAGGCGTATAAAAATGCAACTGCGTGAAACACACAGGTGTATAAAAATACAACTGCGTGAAACACACAGGCGTATAAAAATGCAACTGCGTGAAACACACAGGTGTATAAAAATACAACTGCGTGAAACACACAGGCGTATAAAAATGCAACTGCGTGAAACACACAGGTGTATAAAAATACAACTGCGTGAAACACACAGGCGTATAAAAATGCAACTGCGTGAAACACACAGGTGTATAAAAATACAACTGCGTGAAACACACAGGCGTATAAAAATGCAACTGCGTGAAACACACAGGTGTATAAAAATACAACTGCGTGAAACACACAGGCGTATAAAAATGCAACTGCGTGAAACACACAGGTGTATAAAAATACAACTGCGTGAAACACACAGGCGTATAAAAATGCAACTGCGTGAAACACACAGGTGTATAAAAATACAACTGCGTGAAACACACAGGCGTATAAAAATGCAACTGCGTGAAACACACAGGTGTATAAAAATACAACTGCGTGAAACACACAGGCGTATAAAAATGCAACTGCGTGAAACACACAGATGTATAAAAATACAACTGCGTGAAACACACAGGCGTATAAAAATGCAACTGCGTGAAACACACAGGTGTATAAAAATACAACTGCGTGAAACACACAGTAGTATAAAACTTCAACTGCGTGAAACACACAGTAGTATGAAACTTCAACTGCGTGAAATACACAGCAGTATGAAAATTCGGCTGCGTGAAACACACAAACTTCACGCATGCGTGGAGTGTATGGAGTGTACGGGAGTGATTCACGCAATGGTGCGAATAGTCACGGCCTTTTTTGTAGAGCAAATTGAGAGCTACAAAAAAGGAAATTACAACAATTTCGCTATTCCCCTTAGATTCCGAGATATTTATTGAAAACTGACCAATAGTGAAAATCGACTTATACGGACCACTTCGCTACTGAATTTAATAAAAAATTGAAAATTCCCAACAACATTCATCCAATCGATGAACTCCACTTGTGCTACACCCGCACTTTGTCAATCGCAAAATCCCCTCGGACATCCAAGATTCCCGAATGATTTATCAAGGGGTGAAATTTTAAACCGTGCGACTGAGTGTCAGGGTCTGATGCATGTTGCAAAAGGGTTAGTCGATCGATATCTTCGTCTGCTGCCCTTTTGCCAGCGTCTCTTTGTTTTCTACACTGCTTATCCATGCCCTGTGATTACCAAGAGGAAAGAGGGGGGGGGGGCCTCCGGCGGGGGGGATGTGCCCCCCCATTGAACAACACTGCAAGGGGCCTATTGCACAATCGCATTAGTGGATCACCCGTTCGTGATAGAAGGATTTATGGAAGCGTTCACTGTACATTCTCCACACATTGTTCACCATACGTGGAGGCTTTATTGGTATTTTTACAAGGGGATAACAAACGAGACTTTTGAAGCATCGAACTTCGATATTGCGAGTTAATCCGTATGAATGCGTAATCAAGGGTTCTTCCGTGAGTGACAGAATAGGCAATGAAATTGTTGAAGCAGAAAAAAAGATTTTCATTTTCATTTTTTTTATCTACAGAATTTATGCCTTCTATAAAATATTATTTCATTCATTTTTTTTAGACAAATATTTTTTGTTTTCCTTAAGAATATTTTTTTATACGTCATTTTTTATAGGAAAAACAAGGAGAACGTTTTTAATTTGAAGAAGTAATAAAAATTCGTAGGAAAACATGAAAAGCAAACATGAGAAAAGATTGTTAAGGAAGAGTGGGGTAAAACGGCCCCTTTTGAATTTTTTTGTTATACTCATAACTCAGAAACAAATTCATTCATTGAGATCAGTCTAGGCTCATTTTAAAGGGGAAGAACTGTAGTTTCCATGGAAAAAAAATTATTCCATTTTATTAAAAATTGAATGAGCTGTTAATATTTTTGAAAAAATCAAAAGGGGCCGTTTTACCCCACTCTCCCCTAAAATCATCAATTTTATTTTTTTTTACCGCGAAAAAATCCCCCTCGACAAAATTGTGGTAGAGAACCTAGACCCTGTTCCCGAAGTATTTCTACGTGTAAGAATGCAGCTGTTCGGTATTCACTTCAGCTTCTTGAAGCTGGTCTTTAAACCGTTTTCTCCCCGGGCATGATTACCACAGAAGGGAGGAAAACAGTCAGTGCAAATATTTATACATTCATCATGAGGATCAGCGGAAAAAAATCCTCCTCCAGAATAATTCCGGAATTTCGGTGAAATTCGGTGAGACGAAATGAACGAAAAGAAAGAAATTCCTCTCACGTATCGTCCTAGTTCGTCTCCGTTCGTTTGCCTCGGCATCAACTCGTTTGAGAAATTGTTGAGCGTTGCTTGGTAACCAGGAGTCACAACATCGAAACTATCGGGCGACGAGATATTCTCTGGGGAGTTCCTGGGATCGTAAAGAGGTCAGTGTCCTTTGGAAAATCAATTTTCGGTTTTGTTTCCGGAGAAAAAAAAAATCGTCTGAAAACTCACGATTTATTAACAAAAAAAATGGCAGTGTCTATTTACACTCTCAAGGGTAACTTTGACCGTGGATGTGATTTTTCCGTGGATTCAAGGTAAATTCTACCGTGATTACATGGGAGACCGTGAGCCCTCAACTTCTACTTCTCAAATTAAATCTAGACAATAAACAAGACTTATCGAATCAATTGTTAAGTGAAATGCAGACAGTAGACTAGTAAATAATTTTCCCAAAATATTAATTCGTTGAATACGAATATCAGTCTAGATTAACGTACGAGATGTATCGAACTGTGGTTTCTTTTCTAAAACAGACACATTCATGTAAACTACCTAATCTATTCACTGTTGATTGTTAAATTAACTATTTGAAGAGAAAGTACTTCTGTTTAATGAATATAATTTTGAAACATTGAAATTTATGGTCAAGTGGACGTGAAAATGGACAAATACGAGGTATGAAACATATTCTTGATATTTCTGAAATACAATTCTTCTAGGGGAGCTCCAATTTGAATTGTCCACATCAATTTTACTAGACTAAACGCAAATAAAAGATGAAATTAATAGTTTTTTACATTTTACGTGAACGTTTTCTCAACAATATTAATATTTGTCTAATGGGGTCCGAGTCCAGGAGTGGATGCCGAAATATAGTGCAAATTATTTTAACCCTAGACTGGTCACCATGCGAGGGAATTGTCGCAAGACGTCGTTTTATTCACCTTGTCATCGACTGGTTGACCGGAAAAATTTGAGAAAAATTGAATTCATCAATTGAAGTATCTGGAAAATTCTAGTATTTTTTTTTTCAATATTGTATCCTTAATTCTGGGAGAAAAAAAATTATTTCCAACAGGTGAACAATTTTTTCCCGTGTTGACTGAAATTGCCTGTTGCGCGACGTTGCTGGGAACTCGCTAAACGCGCCCGGGAAGTGTAGAGTGGATTCGGCAACGCTGGAGCCTAAATAACACGGCGGCACTCTCCCGCGAAGGTGACTAAAGTCGCATTTTCCCGTCAGGTGACCAGGCTAGGGTCAAGGGTGATTTTCCAACCAGGGGGGAGCCCTAGGCCCCACTGGACAATGTCGTCACAACTCTGGTTTTCAAAGATATTTTTCTTGTTTTCTGTCATAAAAATTACATTTTTATGAAAAAAAAAATCGCAAAAGTTAAAATTATCGATAAATTGAAACGAAAAAGAAGAAAAAGCTTGAGTAAAATACCCAGGTACATTCTACAAGGGGAAAATCGGGCTCAAGGTCTCCACTTCATCTCTCTAATCATATTCCCCCCACCCGTATATATTCCGAACACAAAGGAAACAAGGCTACGACCTTCCGCCGGTTGCTGGGATCCACTCGTCTATTCTCACCCCTCAGGACCGTTTTTGCAGACACGTGGCCCTACACTATACATTTCACGACGAAAAAAGGAAGATAAAACGTGAGAGGGAGAATAAAAGGGAGAGAAGAATACATTTGTAGTTGAAAAAGTGAAGACAAAATTTTTCAAACAATTTTAGACTTTTAAAACAAAAGTAAAATTGTGTTTTTTTTTTCAATAGAATTTTTTTAAATAAATAATTGCATAAACTATTTTTGCGACTCATGAACCAATTAATTGGATAATTAACCAATTAATTAAGCTCAAGGAAAATAAAATAATTTTTATTTTCGAAAATTGTATTTATCAAAAGAAAAAATCACTTTAAAAATCAGTTATTTAATTTTTTTCTCCACTCGAACAACTGATTGATTAATGAATTAACCAACTAATGACTATCTCAATTATAAATATAAAAAATGTGAACAAAAAAAATAATAAATCACGGATAATTATTCGATTCCAA